TCGCTCTGCAGCGCGCGTGGGGGAGAAGCAGCGCTCGACCTGCAGCGGTGCCTGGAGGCCGCCATCGAGCGGTAGCTTGCCATGGGGGCGACGCCGGAGCCGCCGGCCATGGGTGCCTCGCCAGATCTCGGAGTGCTCGGCCTGAAGGCGCAGGCCGTCGGAGGATGCGCTCGCCTGCCGCCGGTGAAGGGTATCGCTGCCAGGTCGCCGGAGAGGGGCTGGGGCAGTGCCCACGCCCGCCGGTGCTGGTGTCGTTGCCTCCAGGTCAGCCACGTGGGGTCTCCTTTTCTCGCGAGCACGAAGTGGATAAAGAAAGAAGAAAAGCGAACTGATATCTTCGTATCAAGTAGCGTGTGGTAATTTTTTACCCAAAAGCAGCTCAAAACAGGGTGGAGGTGTTTTTGAATTTGTACTACACTAAAAGCTGTTTTTTTGGTAAAAGCATATCAGGATTTGAAATCAGGAATTTACGTATTAGAGCATATAATGGAATAACCAAATGCCACACAAGTTTTTTTTTTTTATTGCACATCATGAAGTAAGCTCTAACAATATGGGCATGTTCGGTTACTCTGGATTCCACCAGAATCAATCCGGATGATCAAAACTTATATAAACTTATGCAAGCAAACCAGACAAGAATAGTTCCAGGTCACAATACTCCTGCAACCGAACGGGCCCTAAAGGGTTTCGATCCTATTTGGTGCGAGAGGATCAAATCATTTGTACAAGGAGGTGATGTTGAGATAAATGTAAATGATTAATTGGGTCATATTTTCATACCAAGAAGGGCCTAAAACAAGGTGATCCATTATCCCCTATACTAGTAGGTTGGCAATCATTTTGTCTAGAGCTAAGGATGGTGGTTAAATGAAAGGGGTAATGCCTTGTTTAATTGAAGATGGCTTCACTATTTTTGAATATGCAGATGATATAGTCATTTTATGGATCATGATATTGAACATGCAAAGAACAGAAAGCTACTAGTATAATTTTGAATAATTGTCTGATCTTAAAATTAACTTTCATAGAAATGAAATATTCTACTATGGGAAGGCAAGAGACTGTGAGTCATAATATTCATAATAATTTGGCTACAAAATAGACTCTTTTATCCTTTTCGCTATTTGGGTGTTCCATTGCACCGTAGGAAAGTCAACAACAAAGATTGGAAGACCAGTGAAAGTGCATCTAGCTAAGTTGGTTATAGGTGGCTTGAGTAGTACTCCTCAACTCTTAGGTTCAACTCCCCATAGGAGCAAATTTTTAAGCTGGAGTAAAAAAATCACCCCGTCTGTTCCACACCAAAACACATGTCTAAGTTTTAGCCCCTGTCACTGTGGTTTTCACATGGACTACAGTGCAACTATATATGAGTGGGCACGGGTTTGGAGATATTCTTGGCCTACATGAGAAGGTCTTTTCTTCTTAATTTAATGTCCGGGGTTGTTTTACCTCCATAGGTTGAGTTCTTCTTTAAAATCCTTTCGTGCGGAGTCTTCACAAAGATAGCCTTTTCACAGCCAAGTCTATGTGTAGTTATTGTCAATAATGATGTTAAGGTTACCCAAGAAATTTGCCATTTGAAATTACCTCTCAAAATAAAAATTTTATGTGTTACTTTAACAAAGGAGTCATCCTTACTGAGGATAATTTATCTAGAAGAAATTGAAATGGTAGTAAATTATGCTACTTTTATAGTCAATCAGCAAACTATACAACACTTTTTCATAGTGTTATTATGCCAAGCCTTGTGTTGTGATGTGCATTTTGTATTGCGCACGGAACCTCCACACTTGATCTAAGCAAAGGGGTCAGATTCTTAGATCTTTGTTATTGACAGGGGCCGTGGTAGTTTGGTAGGCAATTTGGCTTAGTAGAAATGATTTTGTGTTCAATAATGACCAAACAAAAAATTCTTGCATGCATTTTTTTGGGGGCACACTATTTCATTCAAAAAAAATAAAGGATCTTGCATAACACTATTCTTTACTTCCTATGGATGGCATTTTCGATTTCATATTTTTTTAACATTTTTAGGTGGGGTCACTGACACTGAATTTTTAGCGTTTATGGAAAAAAAAAAATTATGGTGAAGTTATGGGGGTCTTAGTCACTGGTTTTGATTCCAACTACAAATTGTAGTTTATCTGTTACACATCTATATATCTATCTATATCTATGACCATAAATCTATTGGTTAATTTTCAATCCTTGCTAACATTCTATTTCGTGCCACATTATCATCCACTAGAAACCAGAGTAAATTACTATTTTCCAACTGCTTCAGCAAGCTACTTCCTATGGATGGCATTTTCGATTTCATATTGACTAATAATGTTTAACATTTTTTTTGTTTCCGGGTAACCTTTTTAGTTGTATTTTTCAAACATTCCAAATTCAAAAATCTCATGGACTAATGTCTAATAAAATCTCTTTGAAGAAAATATCTGACACTGGAACTTTTCGTTTATGGAAAAAATAGATATTATGGTATGAAGTTATGACATTTTAAAACGGGGTCTTAGTCAGACAGTAGTGGTTCACCTTCATCCATCGTCCAACTTTTACAAATTGTTCCTTCTTCGTTTATATCTATATTTGTATCCTGTCCGTATATCCACATCTTCACTATATGATGCACAATCCATCAGTGATGTATCTACTGTCAGGCTATACTATCATCTTATATTTTCAATCCTTGCACGACACGGGCATTCTATTTTAGCATGTCATGCAAGTTGACCACATTATCATCCACTAGCATGTGATTATTATAGCCCACTAGCATTTGAAATTACTGCTTTGTTCAAGCTATTCATGTCAGCAAGCTAATCTTCCACTAATGTGCCTTTAGTTATCCACATCAGCGTACTACACCATCCACTAACATTCATTATAACATTCAATATGATAGTTTATCTTTTCATATAAATCATCTAATTTTCACTTCAAATCATCTGTGATTTTTTGCAGTAGCGTCCGGGTAACCTTCTAGTTTAATTTAGTTTTATCTTGAATCAAACATTTCAAATTCAAAAATCGCATCCAACAAGATTGTAATTCTATGGTTCTCTAGCTAATAAAATCACTCACTTTTGCGGCCGACCGGTTTGCCCGGTGAAAATATCTAATGAATGTATTACCTGGACATATTTGATGGTGGATTTAATAAAACCAATTTTTATTATAGATATTTGTGATTTTGACTTAGTTAAACTTGAGAGTATGACTTAGCATAAAACTAAAATGACATTTTAAAATGAAGGGATTGGGATATATGGTAAGAGACAGTAGTGGCTTTCAAAATCATCCATAGGGACGTCTATACAACATTTTAGTACAACATTTTGACATTCCTTCTTCGTCACAGAAAACTGACACTGGCGCCTGCTGTGCTGGACTAGACTCTGTTAATCCTGTTCGTACACGTGGGAAATTTTTTATATGCAGCATGAAAACATATCTTTATTGCCTAAATTTTTCAATCAAAGGCTTACAAGCCTGATGCAACAATCCAGATAATGAGCAGTGACCCAAGAACATACAATTAACGCCGCCATCACTATCATTAGATGATGTCTCCACTGTCAAGATATTTAGAAAGAACATGCTGTTTTTACTGGAATCATTAGATGATGCATTGTCCAAAGTCAAATATTTTTTCGTCGAATGCAAATACAAATGCAACATCATTTCCGTTGTGAGAAGATCAATCAAACCGGTCGTTACGTCGGCTGTTGGCCAGCTATACGTCGATCTATCGTTTCGCTCTCAAACCGGTCGTTAGCTGTTAGCTCTACGTGCGCTAGCACATACTACAGAACGTTAGCTGGAATGTCACGCATTATTCTATCTACCAAGCAAAGCGTCGAAAACAATGGGAGAAATCCAATGAAATCCCGGCTGCGTTCTCCCAAACATCCGTGACGCACGCGCGCGCACGTTCTTCTTTCTCGAGAGGAAATGCGTGTTCATGTTGTTCTCAACATCTCCTCATCGTATATCATCATCATATTTCGTAAACAGGCTGTCCATGTATATATATAGAATGGAGTTACCTCGTTTCATCAGGTCAGGACCGAAAAAAAATCGTTGAATCGCATTGCCGCTTTCTGCTAGCTTATCGTCCAATCTAAGCTGTGCGCCTCCTTTTTTAACGTAATAAAATTAATTCATTCTAAAATAACAGTTTGCTACAGATCTTTGCGATCTCCATGATATAGGCTGGAATTTGTTCCGTTATGTAAAAAAATCTTTTCCGATCTCCTCAGTAATGTTTAGAGGTGTGTGTATATATATAGCTTCGTATTCAATACAGTGCTGTAGATACGAAGTAGTGGTTGAAATTAAACTAGTCCAAACATGTCAGTGACTTGCTATACCACGTCTGTCCATGTCTATAGTCTCGTACGGCAAGGTCGCGGCGACTAAGAGAAAACATTGTTCCCGACGAAATTTATTTATCGTTTATTACAGTTGGCAGCTTGGCGCACTCTATAGTCTCGGTCGCTGGTCGCGGCGACTAATAGAATTTGTTGAGACCGCTCATTGGGTTCGAGTTGATAAGTTATTATATTAGTCAGTTATGAAAGAAAAACATTATGATTGACTGAAAACAGGAGCGAACAGGCCGAATAAAACGAATCCGTTCCATCCATCAAATTAATACCTGTTGCTTGCACTTGCCTGTTCAACGCCTGCCCAGCCCAGGGAAGAAGAGAAGGGGGACAGAAGCATCAGGAGATGGCATCCCCTCACCAAATCCGCAGACCCCGGTGCTGACTCCCCGGCCGGGCCGGTTCGCCAGCCAATCCATAAAGACCCCGCGGGTGGCTACCTCTGCTAGCTAGCGCGGACGATCCGGCCTCCCCCGCTTTCTGATCGCGGTCGCAGCACGCGTTCGATCGGTCCAAGCGAAAACTAGCCCGGCGCACAGGGAAATCGAGGGAGAGGAGCATCAGGCAGCGCTCGGTAGTAGCGAGCGAGCAGCGGGCGCCATGAGCTTGGCAGGGCGGCGCAAGTCGTCGCTCGCGGGCGCGGGCGCTGGAGCCGGGGCCGACGCGTTCGGGGCGAAGCACGCCGTGACGTCGCTGCGCAAGGGCGGGCGGCTGCCGGTCTACGTGGCGAGCGTCTTCTTCGTCCTCTGCGTCATCGTCATGTACGGCGAGGACATCCGGTCGCTCACGCGCGTGCCCGCGCTAACGGTGCCGGCCACCACTGGTGGTGGTGGTGGTGTTGTTGGTGTTGGTGGTGGCCGGCAAGTGGTGGTACCCCGGCGAGACATCTCCGCTTCTGAGAAGCCCGCCGCCGTGTTGCACCACAGCGACCAGGAGAAGCCGAAGCACGCGGTGACCACGACGACGACGACCACGACGACGGAGCCGGAGCCGGTGGCTGTCGTCGAGAAGCCACCGCAGGATAAGGTGGACACCACCAAGAGCCAGAAGAAGACGTCGTCCAAGAAGAAGGCGAAGAAGCCCCGCAGGCAGCGCGCGGCGAAGAAGACGGTGGTGCCGCCCGCGCTGGGCGTGCCGGAGACGTGCGACCTGTCCAAGGGGCGGTGGGTGTTCGACAACACGAGCTACCCGCTGTACCGGGAGGAGGAGTGCCAGTTCCTGACGTCGCAGGTGACGTGCATGAAGAACGGCCGCCGCGACGACACCTACCAGAAGTGGCGGTGGCAGCCCAAGGACTGCTCCATGCCCAGGTACGACACCTACCAGAACTGGCCTCGGCTGGCTGGCCATATGCATGCCATGCGCATAAACGGCAAGGCCTGTCGATTCCATTGCAGATTCGACGCGAAGCTGTTCATGGAGCGGCTCCGGGGCAAGCGGTTCATGTTCGTGGGGGACTCGCTGAACCGCAACCAGTGGGAGTCCATGGTGTGCCTGGTGCAGTCGGCAGTCTCGCCGGGGAAGAAGTACGTCAGTTGGGAGGGCCAGCGCGTCGTCTTCCACGCCTGGGTGCGTCTCCGTCCCCCCCCCCCCCTTCTGCCTGCTTTAGGATTCGTGCGCCCAGGATAATCGTCGACAGCTAGTAGCCGGGCGCACGGGGGCCCTCGAGAATACTGCAAGCAATTCGTTCAGGCTTCCACGCAGGCAGCCGTTTTATTTTCAACCGTGACGCGTGCCCGTTGGCGACGGCTAGGTGCACCAACCTCGCGTCGCGTTTCCCTGGACGGCTGGACGGGGCCGTCGCTGACCAGGCCGCCAGCAGCCCTGCGTGTGTGTGTTTCCTTCCTCGAAATGAAATAAACTGACGAACGGACCCGAGCCGCCTTTTGGTGCGTGCGGGTGCTGAAAATGCAGGAGTTCAACGCGACGGTGGAGTTCTACTGGGCGCCGTTCCTGGTGGAGTCGAACTCGGACGACCCCAAGATCCACAGCATCCAGCACCGGATCATCAAGGCGGACACGATCGGGGCGCACGCCGAGAACTGGCGCGGCGTCGACTACCTCGTCTTCAACACCTACATCTGGTGGATGAACACGGTCGACATGAAAGTCATGTACGACGACGGCGACGAACCCGGCCACCACCCCGTTTGACACGAGCGCGCTCCCGGAAGGGAACTGATCGACTTGATCGTTACATATTCGCAGGAGACCGGGCGGCAAGAGCTGGGCGGAGCATGACGAGGTGGTGCGGATCGAGGCGTACCGGAAGGTGCTCACGACGTGGGCGAGCTGGGTGAACGACAACATCGACCCGGCGCGCACGTCCGTCTTCTTCATGAGCATGTCCCCTCTCCATATCAGGTATATACTACATTTTTATTTAATTATTTATTTATGCCCACCCGAATTTTCGATGCCCTTTTATTATTCTTCTCATGCGTAGTATTAGATTCCACTCCCTTTCAAGGCTCGTTCGCTTGAACTTACCGGCCGTACCGTTTCAGCGAAATAACAATGTTTTTCTCTCGTAACAAATCAATATCAATATTAGCATCAGTCGTTTTTTCAGCCAACCGATCGTGACGTCAGAGTACAGTACTCCCCCACTTCCTACCTACTCTAAGCTCGAACGAAGCAAGAACAAGTAGTACGTACGCACGATCAAATCAACAAGGGCAAGGCACGTACACAGTGCACGCTCAACTTGCCAACAGTGCAGAAACGTACTACTACTAGTAGTCAGCCTGTAGTTAACTCTTAATTAGCGTCGCGACGCGTCACGCGTGTGGGGGCGCCGCGCCAGAGCCTTTTATCGTTTCGCACAGCAAAGGGTAATGTACATACAGTACATGGCTGCGCAGCGCGCGTGCGTGGTGGTGCCGGTTCCTGCCAATGCGATCCGTAGCGTAGCGCCGCATCGAGCAGCTGTACTTATATCAAGGGTTTGACATTTCAGCCGGCGTGTACGCTGCGTAGTGGTAGCTGGTCACATGCATGGAGTACCGATCCCAGTAGTACTTAGCTCTAGTAGATGTCTGTTGTTTACAGTAGTTGTTTCACTTCACTGCTACTGTAATCCAGCCTCCAGTAGTACGTGCTACACCTTTTTGTGCACGGTAACAGGTGGTAAACGCGACTTTTTAGGCGTTACTTGGATCAGCACCTTCCCTCCGATTCTCCCGGTTATCAATAATGCACTTTGCGTGGTCAAGAGACTTGCGTCACAAAACTGTCACGGCCCGTTAGAATTCAATCAATTGGGTGGGGGCCGTTGCTATCAGGCTACTATAGGAGAAGTATTATTCTTTATACTATTAAAAGAATATAAACTTTAGTAGTATTGTACTCAGCGCGCAGTCCGTGCACGTTGCGATTACATTAGTACGTACTGTGGCAGGAGAACTCAGAGTTGTGCGTACCTGTCTCATCACATGGGCCAACGAATTATTTGCACCAGGTCACTAATAACCAACCAGATGTGTCGAAGCTTCCAATCGATATTCTCCCTTGGGCGCCGGCTGCTGCGATCCGTGATTAACCCCATCATGCTCCAATGACTATGATGCTCCAATCGGTGGCGTCACGGGGCTACTAGCGACGTCTCGTACATAGATTCGTAGTTGTTGCATCACGGGGTTAGAAATGCTCTGTCGCTACTGCGGTGGCGTCGGTCGTTGGCGCATCGTTCTGACAAGTACTATTGCATCTTTCTTGAGTCTGTTCGTTGGTTGATTTCTGAGCTGATTAACCCAGCTGGTGCTGGTTCGTTGTGAGAGAAAAACACTGTTGACAGATGATAAGCCTGGGCTGAACCAACCAGATCCCGTGGCCGGAATTTTAGGATCTTACTGTATTACAGACAACAGTTTTTAAGTTGGTCGAGTTATCAAACCGGTTCTGCCTGTGAGACTGCGATCACGTTGCAGCCTGAAGATTGGGGGTGGATGAGATGAAAGTCTCCTCATCTGACGACGATTAATCCCACTTGCATCTGACGCTTTGCTTTTTCTAGTTGCGTAGTTCAGGCTCAAAGCTCAGTCCTCTCCTGAGAGTCAGCACCCAAGTTCTTAATTAGTATCCGTCTCCAGTATTGGATTGTATTTGCATATACGAAGTGCCAGTGCTAAATTATTAATGCCTGGATGGGTGGGTCACACACTGACAAACGAATGGCCACACGCGGCTCGGCCACTAGTAGTTTCAAACGGGAGGTTGCATTGGTCACCTATCGCCACGGACAATCCGTTTGACAACGATCTGTGCAGCCAGTTGGCCCGGGGATGACGCATTGCGAAGGCTCACCTAAGGCCCCGTTTAAATTCAGTCGCTAAAGTTTTAGTTATCACATCGAATCGAATCGAATGTTACACAGGCGTGTCGAACGTGGTGTTCGAATACTAATAAAAAAACAAATTAAGTAAACCACGAGGCGAATTTATTAAGTCTAATTAATCTGTCATTACCACACGTGTACTATAACACTTTATTATCAAATTATGGACTAATTGGACTTAAAAGATTTGTTTCGCTAATTAGTCGTAAACTGTGTAATTAGTTATTTTTTAGTCTATATTTAATATCAAACATTCGATGTGATATGCTGTAAAGTTAAAGCATCATGGAAAAAAAGAAAATTAAGGATGGGGACCTATCAGGGAAGTGATAGATGTTTAGGTTCCGTGAAGCAAACCACTTTGAATTCCCAGAGCTGTATACACTTTCTTTTTAGCCAGAGAAGAGATTCGCCATTTGTCCTTAGTGGTTGTTTTATGTAAGGAGGTATGTAGTATCTGGCCAGAAGCACTGTAGAGAGGTTTGGATGTGGTGGCTGAAAACACTGAGGGATTGTTTAAATACATGGCGTAAAGTTTTGGAGTGTTACGTAGAGGTGTCGCATGAGTAGTTCGGATACTAATAAAAAATAAATTATAGAATCCGTCAGTAATTCGCAACACGAATTTATTAAGCCTAATTAATCCGTTATTAGTACATGTGTTTACTGTAGCACCACATTATCAAATCATGGACTAATTAGGCGTAAAAGATTCATCTCATAAATTAGTCACGAACTGTATAATTAGTTATTTTTCTAGTCTATATTTAATACTTCATGCATGTGTTCAGATATTCGATGAGATAGAGAGTAAACTTTAGGGGATGGGCTAAAGAAGGTGTGAACGCACCACCGGGCACTGCGTGTTGTGTTGTCACTAGCCGGCTGGCTACCCGGCTGCAGGGCAGAGGTGTGCTAGCTGCCAGAGTCTTGGTCCTTTGAAGTGGAAAGATCGGTACAAGGACGAACCATTTGGCGTGCCTAGCTGCAAGCTGCATCGAAATCGTGGACTGTTTCATTCGCGATTGCGTCCACGGACGGAGCACTTACCTAGCCTGGAGTAGTTGGAGGCATGTCACGTCGAAAGATACAGTTGAGGCTCCGCGAACCAGAGAACAAGGTGACGATTGCGGCGCTATATCGCAGAACGCGTGTTTGGCAATTCAAAATTCACATCACGCGTAGAATTCTGAATTGATTTTGTTACCTGTTTCCATTTCCTTTTTAAGGGCGCTAGATATGTTATGCAGCGATGAAATAGCAAATTTTCAAATTCGGCGTACTCCAAAGTCAAAACTGACAATGTTTTATTCTTCTTTTGTCTTTGTAATAAAAAACTATTACAGCCCGCAGGTGTGGGGCAACCCGGACGGGATCCGGTGCGCCAAGGAGACGATGCCGCTGCTGGACTGGCACGGCCCGCTGTGGCTGGGCATGGACTGGGACATGTTCCACCAGGCGAAGAACGTCTCCCGCCGGGCGTCGCCGCGGGTGCCCATCACCTTCGTCGACATCACCACCATGTCGGAGCGGCGCAAGGACGGGCACACCTCCGTGCACACCATCCGGCAGGGGAAGGTGCTGGGCCCCGAGGAGCAGGCCGACCCGGGCACCTACGCCGACTGCATCCACTGGTGCCTCCCCGGCGTGCCCGACATCTGGAACCTCGTGCTCTACACACGGATACTGTCCAGGCCTGCACTCCAGCTCGAGTAAAACTGGTAGACAGAGGCCTTCAGATCGCCAATTCGATTCATAGGCTGCCGCTGGGATGGCATGGCCGGTGCCCGGTGGGTTATACACACACACACAATCATCGTCGGTTCAAAAAGGAAAAAATTTCTCCTCCTTTTCTTCACACATTTCTCTCTGGCCTTTTTCCAAGTCGAAAGATGCCTTTGTTTGTTTATTATATAGGGGTGGTATAGGTCAGTCAAGTGAAAAGAGACTGTAAATGGGCGGGCTGTGAGATTAACTGCCCCAGATCGATCGAAATGTACATTCGGGGTAACAAAAGCTGGAATGAAAAGAGATGAACACATACTCTATGGTTTACACAGAAACGGGCACTCGCATGCGTCCACCGGTCCACCCTGACCCGCAGCAGAGTCGTGCCCTCGTGGGGCACCTTTTGCGCACTCTTTTGCACGATCGTCGTCGAATTTATAAATATTTTTCAACCAATCGACGAATAATATTTTTTTATAATAAATTAAAAGCTGGAATGAAAAGACAACGGGAGGCAGATCGAAAGGTGATGGGAGTTGAATGCCCTTTTTAGCAGGTGGCCGTCCTGCCTGGCTGCCTCGTCGTTTTGGTGCACAGGTCCCTGATCCAACTGCGAAGGCCGAGCGAGCGAACGATGAGAGAACGAGAAACGGACACCAGCAGAGGTTGCGGTGCGGAGGTGGTCATCATGTCGTTTGCTGGAGCGTGCGCGCTGGACTGGAGACTGGACTCAATTCGGACAGGTTCTGCGCTGCTTTTGGCGTTCGCTGTGGCACTGAAACCCCCGTATCACCTTTGCCCTGAACGGATGGACCTGTGGCGGGGGTAGACTGATGTGAGGGCCGAGAGGACTTCCATTCTGTTTGGACGGAGAAAGTAGTAGTGGAAAGCAAGGACGTCTTTCTTGAGATATAGGCAGTACAAACCAGTCACTACTTCATCCCTCTTAGAAAAAAAAATGTGTATTTCAAACCTATCCATTCTTTCATCAATTGTTTTTATCCAATGTATTATTAGATTAATTATGATATATATTTTTACAGTAACCAACTTAGAGATAAAAAAAATTGATAATATTCTTTATAAATTTATATTTAAAAATAAAATTAATAGTCTCGAAATGCAGAATATACACTTATATGAAGGGAGTAGTACTACAGAGCTATAAATCGAATGAACGTCAGGACACGAGCGGTATAGTGACTTTTGCCATCGGATGTCATGGCCTGTACTTTCAGGAGCGGCTAACCACCCACAGAGGGACAGGGTGAGAGTACTAAGCATGCTTCTAAAGTCGTACCCGCGGTAGCTCAGCCGTTCAGCATCCATCGACGTCTCAGGGCATCAGCAAGTAATAAGTACTCCTCCCATTCTAAATTATAAATTATTTTTAAAAAATATATTTTCATCTACATATTGAACTATGTAATGTCAATATACACAGTTGAAACTATATATATCTAAAAATTTAAATGACTTATAATTTAAAATGGAAGAAATCATATTAGAGAACTTTTTACTAGATCTCTTATATCACATCTCTTATAAATTACTCCATCCGTCCCAAAATAAGTGTCGATATGACATTCATGCCGGTCGAGCTCTCTCAAATTTAACTAGATTTATAGAAAATATTAGCAAAATTTATGTGTCCAAATAAGTTTATATAAAAATAGATTCAATGATCTATTTAATGATACTAATTATATACTATAAATATCAATATTTTCTTACATATGTTTGGTCAAAGTCAAAAACACTTGACTCTTCGGAAAGCTAGAACAACACTTATTTTGGGATGGAGCAAGTATTTTATAAGAGTACTTTAAAATCAGTTTAGAATATATAAGAGAACATTGCTATCGCAGATTACTTAAAACTTATCTCCTAAATTTCTTTAGGGCTGAGGGATAGGAGGTTGTGTCCTTTACTTAGAAGAAAGAGTGCATCTTTTGAGAGATCTCTTAAAGAAAGTATAAAGATGAGATAGATAGGATTTGGGGATCTGCTGCAACACTTTCATGTCTTAAATATTACCTTTTATATATAGAAGACTAGATAGGATATCTGATGAAGATGCTCTTAACCCTCTACATTGGGACTTCTTATTAGCCCCAAGATAAAAAAGGTCTATTCCACATAGACACCAATGGTTTCTCAACAGAGAACACACTTCTTTACTGTCCGGTTTCTTTCATCTTCCTTCTGTCACTTTGATACTGTAGAAGAAGAAAAAATACTATCATTCTGCGAGCCACCGTTCTCTCTAGATAGCATCCGAGCCTATATATGTTCTAATGAGTAATAATGAGACCACCAGCTGACTCAAGCACGCCCTTATGCCAGACAAGAAGCATTTTTTAGATATAATAACATCCATGAAAAACATCAGAACGGGAGTAAGAAAACAATGTCTGCTCAGCATGCTAGTTCCTTCATTTCCTTTCTGATTTCTTAGCTTTTCATTACTGCATGTTCTATAGGACGCGAGTGCAACCACACGACAGCACGTCGAAAGACGTTTTATGTTGGTATATAATAGCAACCAACATTTGCAGATAAATCCGGACATCGAGTTTCACAGCCCTGTTAACTATCTAGCCCATGTACACTCAGAATGGTATGGGCCTTAAACTGATGCACGACCGTCCGGCTCAGTGGCTAAGCCCAGCCCGCACTGGGGTCAATGACTCAGTTAACCTAGGGTACGCGCCCCGCGGCTTCCCCGCGCCGCCGCCGCCGGCCGCTCTATTAAAACCCCTGATTTGCTTCAAAAACCCCCCGAATCCTAGCTGCATACGAGCCTAACCTTCATCTTCATGGTGCGATGCATTCGTTTGGGCGTTTCTACGGTGCCGTCGTCCGTGCTCCGAACTAGCTAGCTGCTGTTGGTGATTGCGGTTTCTGAATCTGAATTGTCGGGATGGGTCGATGCGTTGTTCTGTTTTTGTTGTAAATTCGCCTTGCGGTTGCGGCGTGAATTGCTTCTGTTTTTTTTTTACGGCAACTTTATCGAGAGGGGCCAGAGATTTGTGAATTGGTATCCTTCTTTTTGCGGTTGCCCACATTAAAACCGGCCAAAGTTGCAGCAGAGTGCAGGATCTGTTTTCTTGTCCTGCTCCCGTTCAATCCTGGAGCTTTCCATGGCCGGAAATTTCCGAGTCTAGACTCTGGAGTCCCTGACCCAGGAGCCTGAACTCAACCTCTTTTTACCTTTGGTTTGCAGCCTTGTAGTTGTAGGTAGCGTACCAGAGTAGAGCGAGTGCTTGGAGACTTTTTTTACCCCGCAAATTTCCAAAGTAACAGCGTGCCCGTGGTCTGTTTTGTCACCGTTTATTACCACAAATACTACCCCGTTCAGAAATATGTACTAATTTTTTTCGATTGAGTTAAATGGAGTATAGGCCCCTGAACTTGTAAGTGTGTATCGTATAGGTCTATCAACTTTGAAAATATATTTTTAGACTATAAACTTGTTAAGTGGTACACCACAGGTCCATGTCAGTCATTTGAACATTTTTGCTAAGCTGGCATTGCTAGAGTGACATGTATTTTTCATTTAACCCATAGTTTTATTTTTCTTTTAAAAAAGAGACTCCTTTCTCTTCTTTCACCTCCCATGGCCAGCGCACTGTGGTCCAGCGCTAGCTCCACGTCGACGTGCACGTTCATGGCCCCAAGCCCGAGGTTGGCCATCAACCGCAGCGCCGCTTCGGGAACGACCTCTCGTCCAGGAAATAGAGCACGCCAGCACCGTCGACACCCTATCGTGGTGAGCGGGGGCGAGCTAGAGCGCATCGCCGCGGGCGTCATGCAGAGGCAGTATAGTGGAGCAGGATCTGCGCCGAGTCGTCGGCATATAGTCACGCCCGTGTCGTTGGGAGGGCAGGTGGCGCGCGCGCCCCTGCGCTCGGAGCCGGAGGAGGGTGCGAGCGTGCGGCTGGCGATGGTCCATGCTGGCCTATGCGGCTGTGCACGCCAGTCTGCCTCGTTTTGCCCGACCTCAGCGGTAATGACGGGGCACCGAAGGCGACGTCAGAGACAACCCAAAGCCCCCTCCTGCGTGTCCAGGTCTCATCATGCGTGCTACGTGTTCACGTCCCGCCGCGGCCCGGCCCAGGTTCCTCGAGCAGAGTCGAGCGGTGCCGCCGTAGCCGCCGTCGCCGTGGCAAGCTCATCGCGCTGCCTCACGATGGGCAGGAGCATGCGGTCGGCGATGTCCTCCTGCAGGGTGGCAACCGCGCGCGCCTGCGGGTGGCATAGTCCTGTTACGTGAGCATGCACCGCTCCACCACGGTCCACAGCTCGGCCTTTGCTCGCTCACAGTCACAGCGACGACGGCGGACGACGCTCTACGCTTCCTCTGGTATGCTGTCTAGCGCCGGCAGCCAGTCGCCACGCCGCGCTACGCCCGCTCTCTCCCCCGGTTCCGAACGTGGGCGGCTAATGGATGACTTGGGGCTTGGGGCCGTGTACGTTCACGTTGACAACTTGACATAGAGCTAGCGCTGGACCACAGGGCGTTGGCCATGAGAGGTGGGAGAGGAGAAGGTAGTGTCTCTTATTTAGGAGAAAAATAAAACTAAGGGGTTAAATAAAAAAAATACATGACATTCTAGCATGCCACATCAAAAAAAAAAAAACATCCACGTGGCTGATATGGGTCTGCAGTATATCACTTAACAAGTTTAAGACCTAGAAATGCATTTTCAAAGTTTATGGACCTACGTGACATACGCTTATGGCACCGTTCGGCTTACCTTATAATCCGCACTGTTCAGCTTATTTTTTTCCAGCCGGAACAATGTTTTTCTCTCACAATAATTCAGCCAGAACAGTATTTTTAGCCAATTCAGCCAAGTTTGAACAAGCCAAACGGGGCCTATAAGTTCGAGGACCTCTGGTGCATTTAACTCTTTTCGTTTCTTTGAGAGCCAAATAATTTTAAATTTGACTAAATTTGTACTCGGGATTACTAATATTTAATTATATTAAATAAGTATTATTAGATTAATTGTTGAATAGTAAATCTATTTGAAGATATAAATGTTGATGCTATTCTCTGTAAATCAAGTTGAATTTTAAAATTTTGACACGGTTTAATTTAATCTTGAGTTGCACTTTGTTTTTAAAAACGGAGCGAGTATAATATATATAGCGTGCAAGTATTTCAATACTTAGCCCACATTGGATTTATTTTCCGGCCATTTTGATCAGTTCAAGTCCAACCAAAGCAGAAAACCACAGCATTTCAAACTTTAGCTGGGCCAGTGCAGCTGTGCAGGCCGACGGTTACCTCGCAAAAAGGCTGCAAGCAGTCTTTGGATCGGCTGTAGCCACAGTCTTTGGAGTATAAAACAGCAGTGGCAGTGGCATCAGCTTCTCCTGCGGTAAGCTCTGCCGAGCAGGCCCTTCGGTTTTTTAGCTGGCCTCCAAACTCTCTTCACGTGGGTGGGTTCAATCCGAAGGCCAGCTGGACCGAGAGGTCTAGAACTCTCGCAGGCAATCTCGGATCGGGGCAGAGACCGAGCCCATCTGCCCAGGTGCGAGTGTGACCCGTGTCCCTGGCTCCCTGCAGATGTGCCGTATCGATCGAACGACGACGCCCACGCCCCACAGAGCGTGGACTGCATCGAACCACCGTGCTCGACGTTTTCTGGCCTCCTCTGCATCTGAAAGCGAAAGAACATTATCGCTAGGGAAAGACAGCCTCTTTTGTTTCTGCTACTAGAGTAGGCGAAGAAACCGCCACAATGCCACATCGCAAGATTCGCAAAGATTTTACAGCGCCGTGCGAATTGAAAGAAACAAGTGCCCAGCTGCCTGAACGCCTCCCCGACTCCGAGTCCAATGGCGGGTGTCGGCATGGGCATCATCCATTCCGTTCTGCGCACGGCCTCCGCACCGCGACCGCGATGGAACAGATGATCAGACAGCTTCGCTTCCGACGGCGGCGTCTGGTTTGGTGGCTACCGCGGCGGCGAGAAGCGTGTCCCGGCACAAAGGACAGCTTGCCCTCGCCCGCAGCCACGCGTCCACGCATTCCGGGTGGAAGCCGTGCCCGCACCGCGGCAGCGCCTTCACCTTGTCGCCCTCCTGGAACTCGCCGAGGCAGATGGAGCAGCACTGCTGCTGCGCCGCGTCGTCCGCAGCACTCGCACCCGCACCCGTGCCGCCGCCGCCGCCACGTTGCCGGTACAGCGTCACGGCCAGGCCTGCGATCGCGGCATCGTCGAGGCCCCCGCCACTGGGAAACAGGCGGTGGCGCTGGCCAGCGGCGCCGTCGCCGTTGCCGACGCGGCGATGAGGCGGCGGTCGTTGTAGCGGTGGCAGGTCCATCGGAGGTAGAGGCAGACGACGACGAAGTAGACGAGGACGCCGAAGAGCGCCACGAGGACCGTCACGCCGCGGCCGCGCACCGCGAAGTTGCCGTCGTCCACGTCGCCGTAGCGCCACCGAAGCGCCTCCTGCGCTGCCATGCGGCTCTCGCTCGCTAGCTCCTTCGGTGTCTGGAACAGTGGAACTTGTTTACAGCCTTCAGTTTCCTTTGACAAATGCTATACATTATCCGGTTGTTTCATTTGCTCAAAATAGCCGGTTTTGTGGCCGTTCGTTTTGTTTGTGTGTCTTCATTTCGATCGTCTGATCCATCTTAGCGCGCGGCACCCAACTCCGTTGTCGTCTTTTGGTTTCTGACTGTGGGCCAGCGTGGTTTTTTTTGACTTTCTTGGTAGTGGCGCCTGAATTTTCTCGGCCGTTTCCCACTTTCCCTATTCCCCCATTTTCAATTCGGCTCCCCCCGCAACCGAGTTGAGGCGACTCGCGGCGGCTCCAGTGCGGCGGCCGGCGCTGTCAAGGGTTTCGTCGAGCTAAGTTCCTTTGTTCCCCTTCCCATGTTTCCTTTTGGCATCACCGCTGTTTGTATTTGTCGTCTCTCGAGGATTTCGCTGGTACCGAAGAAATCCCCGCCACTGCCGCTCCTGTTGTGCGCCGGTGGATCTTGTCTGACGCAGGGAGGGTTGCGGCCGCCGTCGATTGGAGGGAGTAGTCGTCGTCGGCCTCTGTTGATTTGAGAGAGTCAGCGCTGTCGCGTGTAAGATCCCTTAGCCACCCGGCTTCTGCCTCCGTCGCTGCTCACCGCGACGGGCGCGGGCGTCCCCGACGGACCACAGCCTGCTCCGTCCGTCGCCGCTTACCACCAGGACGGGGCACGTGGTGTCCCCGGCCCGGGCTAGGGAGTCGCGAACAGCAGGAGCCGCACGCTCCAGGCGCCCAAGCACCACTAGGCCTGGTGGCTTGTTCTTTTGTCTGGAAGCAGTCCGTTCGTTGCCCCTCTCCCTCTCTGCTGTTTCTGTGACCAAGGAGCTAGATCGATCTCCTTTGTTACATGTTCAGTTGTTCAGTTCAAGCGAATAGTTTATATATGATCAAGTTGATTTGCTGACTATTTGTTTAGTTCTAGTGAATTGTTAGTCATGTCCTGGGTGGTTTTGAATCTTCCAGTAAATTCTATGTTTAGTTCATTGTAAATCTTTTAGAATAGTGATGTATTATTTTATTGTAGAGTTTTAGTTAGTTTCTGATCCTGCATAGTTTGAGTTTTAGATTTAGTTTTAGTTTTCTTCAGAGTCTACCGGTGTGAACCATTGCAATCTTTTTGTTCAGGTTATAGGTTTATTTTTTAGTTTCTATTCAGTTTTAGTGTTAATCTTCCAGAATAGTGATGTGTTATTTAATTGTAGAGTTTTAGTTAGTTTCTGATGCTGCATAGTTTCAGTTATAGATTTAGTTTTAGTGTTAATCTTCCAGAATAGTGATGTATTATTTCATTGTAGAGTTTTAGTTAGTTTCTGATGATGCCGGTCTCTGTTGATTTTCAGAGAGGCCGTCGTCGCATGTAGGATGTGTGTAGCAGCAGCAGCAGCAAGTAATGAAAATTAGTCACTTGCTTTTGTTAGTTTGACTTTGAATTCATGGATATCATTTTGTTTTTTAGGGTTATGGCTCATAGGAGCAATCCCTGTTGCGGCAATCACGGGCTGCAGGATAACAATCGAGTTGGCCCTGCTCTTCGTTATGTGAATTATTTTAGAAATGTATGTTTCTTTATTTTGTTTTTAAATAAATCTAGTATGGAATTAGCTCTTTTTTCATACATTATTAGCTTTTTCTGTGTTTATCAGGCTTCCATGTCATCTGCGAATCTTCATTTGCTGGAGGAGTTTGTTGGTTTTTGTGAGGCCAAGAAAATAAATCTGCATAATGACCCTGTGCAAGAAGGGAGTACATCTCGCCATGATCAAGCTAATGCTATTCCTGATTCATCATCATTTAAGGAGGATATCATTTTGTATTTTGGTGATCAGTTGCATCCTAATGTAATTTTTTTCCCTTAGGTGCCTTTTTTAACTTACTGATTGTCTGTTTGGTAGTTCTAACTTTTTTTTTTCAGGTCATTGACGACCTATGCAAGCTCGTGAATGAGAGTTCATATGGGAAGTGTAGGTTCTGTAAGATGCCCACTGAGAGCTTAGTCCTTAGTGTCCTTCATATATTGTCAGATGCTGCACAGATCAGCAAAGACTCCAAAGGAAACACTGCTGCTCCTCCTATTTTAGATCCTAATGTTGGAGGTATTTTTAGTATTTTCTTTAATTTTAATTTATTGCATTTTGTTTTAATTTTTTTTCTTTATAAGTAGTAATGATTTTTTAATACTTTTTTGGAATTCAGTTGTAAAAGGCCCATCCGTGCATTGTTCTCAGCAGTTCACCAGGCGCAGTGGTCAGGGTTCCCCGTACCCATGAAGTGCACAAGAATTCCAATCAACGAGACTACAGGAGACCCAAAGAATGCGCACACTCATGTTGCTGGTAAGGACAAGTCATTCCCATTAACATAGACTGGTTTGTTTTCTTCTTATGTACTATATTAACTTTTTTTACCTAATCATTGGTTCTGAAATATATCTGTATATATTTTTGTATAGGTATTGAGGGGAATTCTGTTGTTAACAACTTCCAAATGCACAGTGGCGAGCAGCCCCTTATGCGCAGTGGTGAAGGGTTTCAGCATCCTGTTAATTGCACAAGGCCCCCAAATTATGAGTCTACAGGAGTTCACAACAATGGCCACATTCCTGTTTCTGCTAGGATCAGTCCTCACCCTCAGGTTGTGTAATCCTCCCGTTTTTTCATGTTAATATATTTTTGTATTTGTGTCATCTTGTTTAGTTTTCCATCTTTTATGGATTTTTCTTATTTCTTTTATTATATAGAACCCAAAAGAAGTTTCTGATTTCTTACATGGTTTGAAAATGAACAAGCAAATGCTGGTCCTGGACACTCCTTTGGTGATGTGTAAGGGCAATCGTATGTTTCATGAGGCTGCATCCATGGTAGATAATGGTCCTATCATGAACAAGAAACAAAAGGTATGACGTTGCTCCATATGCTGTGACTACCCCGCTCGTGGGTATTCTGTTTTTGTTAAAGAAGCATTTGCAAACCATTAGTAAGTTTTTTTATTTCATTTTTTTTCTTTTTACCACTTGAGGTCGAAGTTAGTAATTCAGTTAGACCGGTTATCAATATTTCTGATGAGAGACCTAAGCTTGAAGAGGTCAGATATAGGATGAGGACCGGATCTGGCCAGAGATTTCCTATAACTGAAGAAGAGGTTTGTTACTATAATTCAATCTGTGGGCTTGCTCATAGCCAATGGAGTGGGTAAGTTAAGTTTCTTTTTTTTTGTATTGTCTCTTTTATCAATCATGTTTTTTTTCGCTGACTCTTTTGTTTTTTTAGTTGGAAGGCAGTCGAATTCTCTTTGTTGACCAGTGTGACATATTCCTCACTGGGCGAATCCGTTGAGCCTGGGGGCAAAGTTGATAACTATTTTGTTGCCGGGATGTGTCGTTATTTTTTTGAGGATGTTCACCCTCGGCAGTCGAAAAAACACTTTTTCTATCCAAAAGTTGGGGTATGTTTTGTTCTTATTCTTGTTCAATTTTTTAAATTTTAATTTATTTATTTTTCAAGTTCATCAGTCAGTCAGCCTAATTTTTTTTATTTATAGGGTTCTCTTTATACCTACAACTGCTCAGATGATGTGAGGATAGTCCAGAAATCGTTCATCGGTGCCAATTCTGCCTACAAGCTTCATTTGGCAGATAAGGTTTTTCATCCTTGCATTTATTTTTTGTTTTACACTTCCTATGTACAGATAAAAGCCCTGCTATGTAATGTGATTTAAATTTTTTTGATGAAATGTGATTTAATTTTAATGTATATGTTTTAGCTTTGTTTTCTAGTAGTCCTTCATAAGCATTGGTTCGTGTTCATTGTCGATCTGAAGAACAAGATGTTTGTATTCTTGGACTCTTACTTTGATTCCAATGCTAATTTTCAAATTGATGCTACCTCGAAGCTTGTAAGTTTATTTTATGTTATCTTGATCAGTTTCTCTGGTCTTAGCTTGTACCTTGTTTGCACTTTACCTATTTTTTTGTCAGATTATTGCTTTCAAGGAGTGCTGGTATCAGCATGCTGAAGGCTATACAAGTTTGGAAGATTTCTCCGTGTCTTATCCTGCAGTCCCCAAACAGAACAATATGTAAGTCTTGCTATGTTTTTTTCTTTTGAATAGTCATCTTTCTTATTGGTTCGCCCGCTGACTTTTTTCGCCATCCTCTGCCCCTAGTGTTGATTGTGGTATTTTTGCCGTCAAGTTCATGGAACTCTGGGATAAAGATATTGATCTAAGGAATGTGTTTGACCAATCTGATATTCCAAATATCAGGGTGAAGCTCGCAAACAATATGTTTTTCAGCAGGGCAAACACTATTAACAAGTCTCTAGTAATCAACTTGTGCCAGCAGGTAGTTGTCCCCTCGTAGTCTTTGTTGCATTAGACTTTTTTATGATTCATATGTTTCTTTTTATATTTTAGATTGTGGTTCTATCCAGGGACAAGTTATTATTGTTATTAATTTTTTTTCTTTGCAGGGGATCAATCCACGTGTCATTAACTAGGCTTTTTTTCTCTCTGGGTGATGGCTGGAGCTATATCACATAGGATTAACAAAATTGTATAGGGGAGGGTACTAGCCAAAAACATGTTTTTTTGTTTTGGAGATGGTAATGTTTACATGCACTTGTAATGTCTCTTGTAATATCCTATTACATGAACTGATAATGCCTTTATGATAGCACTATATTACTGTCTTTCTTGGTCCTCTTTGCACTCTTTTCATTTACATCAGTGTTGTTTCTTGTTGTTTTCTTCATCCTCTTTGGCTTGGGCTTGATCGAAGATCCTGCAAGGATATTTTAACTTTT